GAGATTTCCAGGACGGCCCACGATGCCTCTGATGCGCCAGGAGACGTCCAAGAAACTACCCAACGATTCCCACACGCCCCAAGATTTTCCCAAAAGCGCACGTCCCCAAGCGATACTGTACCAGATTTGGAAAACAACTCTGCCGAGGAGGACCCCAGGCGAGATAGTTTCTTACCAGATTGGTGCTGCACAGTTTTCGCTCTGGCGTGACCCCACCACTCCCAACCATCGCCCCCGGTCTCACAAATACTCGGTCGCACCGAAGACATGCCATAGCACACGACGCCGCACCACGATATACAATCCGCCGCCGTGCCGAGGGCACTAAATGGAGAGTCCTCAGGTCCGCGCGAGCTTTCTGGATTGACTACTTATCGTAAATCTATCCTGCACGGGGCCGGGGCCCGGACGCGCGGGCACTGTCGAGCGCTCCCGCGGCGACTCGCGTGACTTGAACGGAGGCGAGAACGTGGCTAGGACTTGAAGCTTCAAACCTGGCCTCAGATGCTCGGCGGGCCTGTTCTGGAACCGACTAAAGCGGCCTCGCGGGCCTGCCCAAGAGGCCAGCGTCAATGAATACCTCAAGATTCTGTGTGATTCTGAACTCGCCTGCGCGGCACATTCAAGAGCGCCCGAGACGGATTGACCCCCAAGATGGGCCCCAAACGGCACCCGAGCTCCCAGGAGCAGCCCGAGGTCCCGTTCTGTGGCCCCTAGACGGGGCACGCGAGCTGGTGTGAAGCTTTGTCCCTCAAGATGGCCTGCGAAACTGCAAGGAAGCCCCCCAAAGGCCCCAAGAAAACCTCCCGGAGATCCCCAGAAGGCGTCCAAGACGCCCCCCAGATGCCTCCAGAGAGACCCTCACAAGCATCTAAGAAGCCTCTGATCCGCAACCGAGGCACGGTGGCGGGTTGGGCTTGAAGCCACTAGATCCTTCAGGTTATAGGGCGTTCGTTTGGTTGGGGGGATGGGTGCAACTTTCGCATTTGCAAACCGCTGTGGCGTCCAAAAACCGGATAGCGACGCTGTCCAAAGCCCGTAAAGCGCCTGTGGACGAGGCTTGCGAGAACGCTGGAAAGGATGTCTGGGAAGCTTGCAAGCCTGAGAAAGGAGCTTCGCTTGAGCTCCCAAGGAGCTTCGCAAGAGCTGCGGAGAAGCTTCCGCCACGCGTATTGGGAACGAGTAGGACATGGCTTCTCGGTACAAGCTGCAAGTTCAAGCAAATTGCTGCGGAGATTCTGGAGCAGCGCTAGAAAGAGCTCCCGAGCCATAACTCAATTCGTCTCGGCGTTGCGGCAATGCCGGCTTCATGACATGTTAAGTATGATTCATGTATTAGTGTAGGTATAACACATGTATCTGTGAAATTACATATGCGTGCATCTTCTTGTTATATAAGTAGATGTATATATGTGTGCACATCACAAGTTGGCCATCAGGAAAGCGGCGGAGGGCGGAAACCAATGGAACATCCCGCGGATTTCTTACACACAGAATGAAGCATGGATCCGGCCACAACGAGCATCTTACAGAAGCAGTTCCGCGCATGACAGCCCAGCGTCAGGCATGTGGCTGACACTCCACAGCGATACCATGTCCCCGCGGGTGGTGGCGGGGCTCGGGCGGCGAGCAGAGAGGGGGCGATGGGCACAGCCAATGAAGGTATGTGCAATTGTCCGAAGGCCTACCCTGTCGTGGAAAACGCGTACGAACTGAAATCCAAACGAGTTCCATTAGCGGCCTTCGGGAAAGCGGCGGAGGGCGAAAGCCGATGCACTATCTCGCCGAGACAGTACAAGCGAGATGAAGCATGGGTCCGACCACCACGAGGAGATTACAGAAGCGCCCCCCGTGCAAGTCAGCACGAAATCATTCATGTCGCTTGGGCTCCCATACCTGCATGAGCGCACAGGGTAGTGGCAGGGGTAGCGGGTGGCAGAAGCTGGACACGATACTGGCGAGGACTACGCCTAGGCAGGCACGGGAACGTGCGAGCGGCAGAGGCTGCCGAGCGCCTCTGGCGCGCTGTCATCTTGTGCAGCTGACGAAGAAGCGTGGAATGTTTCTCATGTCTGCCAACGGAGCCGGGACATTTTGATATCCCCCGGCCCTGTAACTGCTGGCGGCTCACGGATTTGAGGTAAGCGTCCGTCGGCGGTCCCGTGCGACGAAAGAGGTGGGGAACGATGCGCAGCGCCTGCAATTCCAGGGCCTCCTTCGCCGCCTCCTCATATTGAGGGAACGTGCTGTGCCTGAAAACTCTCTCGCTGTCGCGGGCACTGTGGCGCAAGGGGCTGGCGACGTCCTGCGCGAAAGGGCGAACCAAGATGCCAGCGATGAACGCGCCGCCCTGCTCGTCCGATCCGGCGCGGCCCGCCCTCGCACATGGCGGCAAGACCAGGCCCGAGCCAGTACATCTGGACCCGCGCTGCCGTTGGGGCGGCAGCAGGTCCTCCCTCTCGATGTCCGCCAATCGGCGGTGGACAAACCTCCCTTTAGTGAAAACGGCCTCGGACCGAAACCGACGGACCCAGACCCGCAAAAATAACGGCCGCGACGCCCTCTCGCGACACGAAAACGGCCAATTCACTAATCGACGTGTCAGGGTTGGAGGTCTATCAACCTCCGAGCCAACGCGCCTGGGCGGACGCGATCGTCGACCTGCAGCGCGCAGGCCAGGGCGCACCAGAAGTGCGCCGCCTGACCCGGCCGGAGCAGCCACTCGGCGATCGGCCAAGCTGCCTCGATGGGGCCAGCCCGGGTTACGCGGGGCACGTCCCTCTACAGGAGGAACCTTCAGACACAGTGTAAAAAAAATGGGGACGATTTGCTTTGCATGTTGGCCCACCCTTTGACTATTTCGCGCTTTTCGCCCAAGATCCGCCCGTAGGGGGACACGCCCGACCTCGGGCCAGGGTCGCGGATGCGACCCTGCCCTGGCCCCAGGCGGGGCGCCGCCTTCGCCTTGGGCGCGACGCGACCGCCCTGGCTTCCGGCGCGAGAGGCAAGCGGCCTGGCACCGCAGGGGCGGCCGCCTCGTGGCCCGCGGGGCCCCCGGGCTCCTCCCGGCTGCGCAGGCCCTGCGCTCGGCGGCCTGGGCCCTGCATCGGGGGCGCGCCAGTATGGATTAGCGATCCATGGAAGTGGCGCAGGGGAGGAGGAGGAGGAGGAGGAGGAGGAGGAGGAGGAGGAGGAGGAGGAGGAGGAGGAGGAGGAGGAGGAGGAGGAGGAGGAGGAGGTGTGTGTGTGTGGGTGTGTCTGTGTGTGTGTGAGCATGCTAAAAACGTCCAAGTTCGCGACTCCCCATGGAAGCGGGGCCCGTCGCTGAGCCACGCCCCCTTGATCCATCCATGCTTGCGATCGACTGCCTGCAGGTGGCGAGGGGCCCAGGCCTCCGACGTCATGATTTGGTCATGACGTCGACCCCCAAAGGTCTCGACCTCCCAGGGACCCGCTTTTCGTCCCGAGTCGTTGTTTGACGGCCCCGAGGCATGGCAGGGGCCCCCGGAGGCCGCAAACAGCGAAAAACCTCTCGTCGTGACCTCTGTCATGACTCGAGGGGGTCTGGGGGGGGGGCCAGAGCCGCGCTGCGCTCCCCAAGCGGGCGCCGAGTCAGCCGATGAAGGCGCTCTATGGGTACCCCGGCCCTCCAGGGACGCCCTCAGACAGCCGAAGACAGCCCCCAAAACAGGACAGCAGGGTTCCCAGAGGCCCCAAAACGCTCCAAGAGGGCCCAGAATCGTCGAAATCCCGCTCCAAGACGCCCACCATGGCTTCCAGACGCCAGGGCCCCAGGCGGCGAGGCCGCGGCGCGGGCCCGCCCCGAGCCGCGGGGGGGGGGGGGCCCGGCGAAGCGCCGAACTGACGCCTCGCGGGCCGCCGCGGCCTCTCTATCGGTGCAAGAAGTCGAACACGGAACTCAATCAGAACTTTGTTCTTTGTCGCATTATTGCCAGCCTCCCAGGGCGCGCCCTCGAGGACGACTGCTTCAAACATGGACAGCTTGACCAACTACCTTGCAGATAACTCTGACATTGTGGGTGACTGCGCCGTTGAGGATGACCGTGCCATTGCGGGTAACTGCGTAATCACACCAGCCCTTTAGGGCGTGGGTGGTTTAGGAAGTTTCCTCTTCCACCCCTCCCTCTTCCCCTTCGGGGAGGGGTTTCCCCTAACCCCCCTCCCATGGACCTGGACGGGGCGTTCCGCGGGTCGTTGGGGCGTCCGAGATGGCCCAAGATGGCTAGAAGAGGGCCTGAGAGAGCCCAAGATGGCCT